AAAATTAAATGACACCAAAACTGACATGGGGATGGGAGTAAATATGTTCGCTGTACATTTGGTAAACAAACCCTTAAATTAAGTCTTAGCAATTAAAAAAAAGAAACATTACCAAGTAGGGACGCACAAGTCTAACTACTCCTACTGAGTGTTTATCTGCTTGTATACACTGGAGTGACTGTGACTCATTGACTGCCTAAAGCTCACTGAATGAGGCCGTGGACCTATGATGATGATGATGATGATGATGATTAAAACACTGACCTCATATTAATTACATCCAGCTCCAGATCAGTGAGCACATCATTACCAGTAAAATTCTACAGAAGCCTCCATTTTTAGCAGCCGGTTGTGCAAAGTGTTTTCCTGCTTGTATAGAGCTGTAAGTACATGAATCATATACCTTTACATACCAGGGCTGCAGCTGATGTGAATGATACGACCTGACAGATGGTCTAAATTGTCAAAATACACTAAAGCAACAGCGTAAAGTTGCAGATCACTGTTAATCAAAACATCCCACACGGTGTTTAGTTGAATACTAAACATCCACTCCAGAGAAATCCACTCAGAACTGAAGCGATGGATATTTTTCTTCATTTTAACTGAGCCTGGTCTCATTAAAGCTTTAAACCTACAAAACGTCTATTTTTGCGTAATGATTAACTTCAGTATTTTGTGAGATTAACTAACAGGAAGAATATATCGGCTACATTCCTCTCTTTTCATGTCAGAGTATTCTCTGTCTGTTCACTGAACCTGCCGGTTATTGTTTATATTTGACAAAGGTGGGGGAAAAGATTAGATAGTGGATTCTGGATGTGCTTTTACTTCGGTGTGATTGTTTGGAGAATAATGTGTACTCTTTAAAAAGTGCTGAACTTTGTTCTTTTAATACATTTTGCTTCTTTTAGAAAATTTTTGGGACCAATTACCCAGTCAGCATCTGCTTCATAGTGGTGAATGAATTCTGCGAACGCTTCTCCTACTATGGCATGAAAGGTATGCAAATAAATGCCTGGGCAATGTTACAGTGCAAATCTATATAAAGCCTAAAACCTAAAAGGTTTTCTAGATTCACAGAGTACCTTTAGCTTGCTACATTAGAGATTATCAGTATTATTGGGGCAATATAATAGAGAGGCAACAAATAAGGTCTCTCTTGTTCCCTCACACGACCTCACTTATCTCCACAAGTGACAGATTTACTTCAGCCGGATCACACACAAACACACATGTAAATACACCGCGCAATTTCCTGCAGTTTTAAGCTGATGTCACTGTGTCCACAGTTTCAGCTACTGAAATTTCTCCTCAATCCGAGTGAACTTAAGACTCGGGGTTTTTATTTAATTATACTGTTTCTAAAATGTGAGAGAATATTAAAAAAATAGATCCCAAATATCTCATTTATTTCAGTTATTAGTAAAAATACCAACGGCATTAATTTTACTAATGAATAAAAGAAGAGAGATCGCATCAGAGAGGTAAGTGGTTTGAAAATAATGGATTACTGATATTCTGTAATATCAGTAATCGAGGATGCCAATGTTCACATTTTGGACAGAGAGGACAGATGGTTTGAAAGAGGAGTGAAAGAAGCCAT